CATTAGCATAATTTAGGCCCAGTGAAATAACATAGTGAAGAAACATGATTACCTTTATTTATCTTAGTGTTTCCAAACTGTAGTTGATCATGGAAACTTTTATTTCATAGGACTAATTAATGAAATGTTCCTCTTAGGTTAGTTCCTGTAGATACTACTCCCCCCACCCCACTAAGAAGGGGCTTAACTCCCCATCCATTGAGTGTGAGTTGCATTTAGAAACTTGCCTGCGAAAAAACAGAGCATGGAAAAGGGGAAAAAAGGAAATTTACAGCCGAAAAACCTGGCAAATATGACCTCAGATGCTCAGATGGTCAAGGTGAACATCAACAGGGATAAGTTATACTGATACCTTGTATCCTTGATACAATGTAATGAGAATGGCGCTTTGTCTCTGTCGGCTTCCAGACCCCAGTCTAACCAGAGAAAAACTTAAATTGAGGATGTTCTATATATTATCTGACCAGGACTCCTCAAAACTGTCAAGGTCATCAAAACCAAGGAGAGTCTGAGAAATTGTCACAGCCCAGAGGAACCTAAGGAGACATGACTGAATGTCATGAGGCATCTTGGATGGCTTCGTGGAACGTGGATAAATTAGGGAAAAACCGTAAAGTCCAAAAGTCGTGTGGAGTTGAATGTGAAGTACCAATGTTGGTTCCTTCATTATGACAGTATGCCATAGTAGTATAAGATGCTAATCCTCAGGAAAGCTCGGTGAGGGGTAAATGAGAACCCTTTGTGCTATTTTTGCAACTTCTCCGTAACCCTAAAGTTATTCAAAAATTTTAAAAGGATTATTTAAGGAAGAGATTGGTTAAGAGAAAAATTATTGATATGTGTAATAGCATGGATGAATCTGACGCAAGAGTCTATATGATTACAGATACATGTAAAATTCAAGAAAAGGCAAAATGAATCCATTATTATAGCTATAAGAATAATGGTTAATGGGGTGCCTGGGTGGCTTAGTCAGTTAAGCATCTGATTCTTTATTTCAGCTCAGGTCATGATCTCGGGGTTGTGAGATTGAGCCCCGCATGGGGCTCCACACTGGTCATGAAGCCTACTTAAGGTTCTGTCTCTTCCTCTTCCTCTGCCCTTCCCAACCCCCTCTCTATCTCTCTTTAAAAAAAAAAAAAGAAGAATGGTTAATTCTGGGGAAAAGATTAGGAAGGATGGCAAAGGAAATGTTAGAACTGCTGGAAATATTCTGTATCTTGATCTGGGTAGGGAATACAGGAGTTCAGTTTAAAAAAAAAAATCCAAATGTGCAATTTAAGTGCTTTATTTTACATCTCTTAAGTCTCAATTAAAAAATTTAAATGCATACAAAGAGATGTTTAAAAGGGTATTCATCAACATTTATTAATGGCTGCTTTAGGCCAATGGAGTTTTTTGGTGATATTTTCCTTTCCCTTCTGTATTTATTTATAATTTCTTTCAGTGATTCATGTTTTGAAAATAAAAACAATAAGGAAATTATTCTTTTAAAAAAAGATCCACCCTGTGGGACACCTGGGTGTCTCAGTCGGTTAAGCGTCTGCCTTCGGCTCAGGTCCTGATCCCAGGGTCCTGGGATCAAGTCCCACATTGGGCTCCTTACTCAGCAGGGAGCCTGCTTCTCCCTCTGCCTGCCACACCCCCTGCTTGTGCGTGCCCTCTCAATCTCCCTGACAAATAAATAAGTAAAATCTTAAAAAGAAATTCCACCCTGTGAAACAATACCCACCAGATTGGTAAAAACCTAAAATTTTAACACACTTTCTGGGCAAGGTTGTAAAGCAGTTGGCATATGGATTTTCTCCTTTGTTTCTTCTAGACATTTAATACTTTTGTGGTTACATTTCAGAACTATGACTCATTTTGAGTTACATAGTTAAATTTTGTGTTGAGGTGTGATGTATATGAGGTGTTACATTCATTCTTTTGCATGTGGATATACAACTGTTTCAACACCATTGCTGAGAAGGCTATCCTTCTCCATCAAACTGATTTTGCTCCTCTGATAAGACTCAGTTAACTGTACCCATATGGGTTCACTTCTGGTCTCTCCATTCTCTGCCATTAACCTCCATGTCTATCCTTTGGCCAATGCCACACTATATTATTGTAGTTACAGTAATTCTTAAAGTAAATCACAAGCCTTTAGTTAGTCTAAAAGAATGTTGGAAATGCATAATTAGTTTGCTAAACCTGAGAAATCCCGTTGTTTCAGATGGTTTCTGGGAGGAATATTAGCCAGTGTCTTCACATGCTCATTGATGATAACTATTGCCTGTAAGTAACCACTTCTCAAATTATTCCTCTGATCCTTGTATTTTATTCCAATTCTGGTCCTTTAAAAATAATTCTTAAATATTTTCTCTTTCTTAACCAAGACACTGTCAAGTCGTTATTTCTTGGCCTTGCCAGCTATGTCAAATCCACCATCTATGCTCAGTAAGTATTGACTGGACGGAGATGACTATAATCTATGCTCGAGAATGCTTTTTGCTGAGTAATAGATGGCAATGACTACATACAGAAAAGGTCCTGATCATTTGTCCTGAAGAATACTTCTTGTTCATGCTAAAATCTAATAACATTATCATCCTGTCTCTTAAATTCCTACAAATTCCTCAAAATAGAGAATTAAGCTTTAAGGCAGTAGGACTTAATAAATAACATGAATTTAAAAATTTTAAATCGTTTCAGAGTGCTTTTATAGATTCATAGCACTGCCCTTTATAAATACCTCCTATTGAGAGGCCTTTATCTTAGAGTTTCCCAAATAGCTGGCAAACTGCCCATGAAATGGTCTCAGTTACAAAGTGTGGTTTCTCTGCCATCTCTCACTCACTTAACGATCCCCCTGTGTGCTGACTGCCATGGCTCATCATATTTCAAAGGCTTACTGGGGTCTGGGTGAGATGCTCACAGAATTTCAAACAGTCTGCAAAACACCATATCCCATCACAAGATGGATTGTGTTAATTACCTTCTCTTCAATATGGCTGCCAGAGGCCAGCTCCCATAGCTTGGAGACGGATGGATGTCTGTAATTCAAATTAGTTTACTGGCCTTTGCTCTTGACATGATGTTGCCCTATTTATGAAATCATTGTGTTAATTCTGAAATCACAATGGGACTTAGGGAAGATTTATTTTGTGTAGAACTCTAGCCAATATTGATTTCCTGACACTCTGAGTGATGTTTCCCTTTGTTTCCTGGCATTCCAGGTTTCTGGGGGATAGGCATTGATAAAGCTAAGATTTGTTTAACCTCATAGTTAGAAGAAAAGTGGGTCCTGAGGCCACCCAAGAAATTCTTACTCTTTAGGCCTTGTATAATAATGACATGAACTCCTCTAAGATACTCACTTCCTTTTCCCTCTGGCTGCAGGTCACTCTCTAGGTCTGCAGAGACTTAGGAGTACACCTCGCCTGGCACTGATGACTGATTCACATGCACACTCAGTTTTCTGGGCTGAGGTGTCACACTTTCAGGACTGGACTAAGCAACAATGTCTAAAGGACAGATTTTCACACAAAGAGCCATTTTGTAACTCAATTTTCAGAAGTAAAAACATTGTCATTGCTTGTCAGATGGTGCAAATTGTTCAAATCCCTTCTCTTTGGGTTTTAAGATGAACTTGTACAATTAATCAGAAAGATGGCAGAGAGGGGCGCCTGGGTGGCTCAGATGGTTAAACGTCTGCCTTCGGCTCAGGTCATGATCCTAGGGTCCTGGGATTGAGTCCCACATTGGGCTCCCTGCTAGGTGGGGAGCCTGCTTCTCCCTCTGCCTCTGCCTCTGCCTCTCTCTCTCTCTCTCTCTGTGACTCTCATGAATAAATAAATAAAACATTAAAAAAAAAAGATGGCAGAGAAACCATGAAACCTTGTTAAGAACTCTGTAATGAGAGCAGAGTTTTTCAATGCATTGCATGGGGACATCTGCTCTAGAATCAACTGGAGAGCTTCTACCATGATTCCAGCTCTTCTGAATCCAAATTTCCAAGGGGCCTTCATTTTTAACAACCTCTCTAGGTAATTCTTTGCACATTAACTGTGAGAACCTTGGAAATATGGTTAATAAAATCTTTACCCCTTGATTTCTAAAGTGGCATCACTTAACCTACTAAATCTTTGTTGAGAACTTATGATACATTCTATGCTATACTGAATGTCCAGTTCCACTCAACAGAAATTTATGGTCTCTCCTAATGGTCAGACATTGCCTCTAGGTGCCAAGGTTGCCATGCCAAGGCCTTGAGATTTCAGAGTCTAAAGAGATATGTAAAGGGCAAGGTGAAGTCGTATTTAGTATGGTAAGTGCAAGTACAGAGTTAGCACAGAGGCTAGGGGAACACCAGGAGGGAGGTTTTGCCAGACTGGGAGAGATGGGGACATGTGGAAAGGGAAGGCTTCTTTGAATGCCAATATTTGACCTGTAGGGCAAAGTGTCACCTGTTGCTTTCAGAGCACTTCCCCCTGTTCTGAGCTCCTTGTTTTTTCTCTCCTAAAATAAATGAGATCAGAATGAGGATGATATTTCTATCCTACACACTCTCATCTACAGCCTCAATAAGATTCCTCCTTTAATTATTTGTGTCCATACTTACCTTGTTCTTCTCTTGTTCCCTCTATTTTTGTCCCGTTTGCTGCCCCCTCCCCAGCTTCTTGTACACATACTGTTACATTTAAGACCTATGAAATCAAGGACTATTGACTTCATTCTTGTATCCATCTCATTATCTTGAGAATAGTAGATATGCCATGAATATTCATTAATTTGAATGTATTTGCTGCATCATTTCTTAAAATACTTCCTTTATAACCAAGAGCTCTATGTCTATATATTAAAGATTTTGCAACCCTCTCCCTCACACATAAACATATCCAGAAGCTAATAAACCAAAGACATGGTTATTAACATCTAGAGGCAAGGATGACTCATAATGCTCCTCCAGCAATCAAGGATGAAAATCTAAGGGGGTGGAGTGCAAGCACTTAATTCAGCTCAACAAACATTAATGGAGCAGCCGTCCCACGCCTGTTCTGCACTGCGCATTGTAGATTAGATTAGGGGTCTATTCTTTCACACTTTATACTTCTCAAGTCCATCTCTTTTCATCCCATGATGCAATTTTCATTCAACCACCTTCTTTGTTCAATTTAAAGCCTATGAGTTTGGGGACTGTCTATATGGCTCACCACTGACCCAAGTGTCTCTTTCAAATGAAGGTCATCACAGGTATCCCATGTTATCAATTATGTGTTAGCATCAGCAGGGTGCATTTTGCACATTTATGACTTCATAGTAAGGTAAAATCTGTTCCCTCTGCTCTTACATGTTGGAATGTGTGTCTCTATAGTTGGTGAATGAATGAATAAACTTTAGGGAGTAGAAACATGGGGAAAATCCTGTAAGGATTTCTGTTCTAGAGGAAGTGGTGCAGGTGGGGAAAGAAAACAATATAAAATGGTGGTTAACTAAGTACCAAGCTGGGATAAAAATAAAAGTTACTCCAAGTTGAGGCTCCACTCTTCCTACTTATGATTACTCAAGCTAGTGTGTGTGTGTGTGTGTGTGTGCATGCACAGTGATTGCAGTAGTTATCATATTTCCTGTCTATGTGGATGAATCATGCATTTCTTTTCTCTTATCTCTGATCTAGGTTTGCCAAAATTTGACAACCATTTAGGAGTGTCTCTGATGAATGCCTTCAATCTGAATATCCAGAAATTGTCTGATTTGCAGTCTGCTTGGAATCAACTGCTTTATTGGAGGGGAGTGAGGAACTGGATAATTGAGAAAAAACATTTTTATTTAGTTATGTGTTTTTTTAAAAAAAATCTAATTTTTGCCCTCATAATTATAATATGCTCATTAAAATAATATTAATTTGTCTCCTTTACAAACACTAGCAGTTGAAAGGGAACAGAATAGGAACTGTGATAGAGAACCAACCACCTGGGTAGATGTTTTCAAACATCAATTTTCATTTAGAGAATTCTATGAGGCGCTTGTAACTGCAGATTCTTGGGCCTGCCTGCAAACACCTATCCCTTACTGAACTGCTTTAATTGAATAATGTAAACAAGTTTCTATAATCAATACCAACTTGAAAGTAAATAAATCGCAGTTTTCACATAAAATACAATGTGGAAAAAAATTCATCATCCTCCCCGAAGAGCAGCTGGATGGGGGTTGGTGTCAGCAGATGGAAAATGGGCAAGAGAGAGCCTTTCTTTGGGACAGCACATTCTTCTTTTGAACCATTTTCTTTACAAAGTTTTCACCCTTCTTAGGGCTCATGATTACCTTTCACTTAAGTGCAATTAAAATAAAGAGAAAAGAGAAAAAAATCTTTAAGGGCCAAAAAAAAGAGAAAAACACCAGAGTGCCTTGAAATGCATAAAAATGGTGCAGTCACCCAGCCAGCTGAAGGGTTATAGAAGACGCTCCCTATCATTGCTCTCACTTGGAATATGTTCTTGAAGGAAACGTAGCCTGCAGTTCAATGTTGTCCTGTATGATAGTCCCCAGCTAGACACCTGTGTGGAGAAAATTGTCTTTGCTTAAAATGGTAATATCAAAATATCACTCTTTATATTATTTGTATTTAGTGAATTTCATTTGAAAAAAGTACTGTACTAGTGAATAAATGAGTTCATCAGCAAATTATATCTATGTATCTGTCATCTATCTATCTATCTATCTATCATCTATCTATCTATCTCTCATAAGAGCAATCATGGTGGCAAGTCATTAATTGGACACTGTATTAGTTTGCTATAGCGGTTGTAACAAACTATCACAAACTGGTGGCTTAAAATGACACAAATTTATTGTTTTATATCTCTGGAGTCTATAATCAAGGTGTTGGCAGCACTGTTTTCCTTCTGGGGGCTTCAGGGAAGAATCTGTTTCCTTGCCAGTTTCAGCTTCTGCTGGCAAGGTGGCCCCTTCCTCCAGCTTCAAAGCGCACAACTTGCTTCCAGCATCACATCACCTTCTCGTCTTCTGCAGTGAAATCTCTCTCCACCTCTCTCTCAAAGGACATATGTATTCATCTATAATTATGATTTCCCCCGGAACATCAAAGACTATGTGCATAGAATAGGGCACACGGCAAGAGCAGGGAGGACTGGAAGGTCAATTACCCTTACCCCTAGAAATGACTGGAGGATTACTGGCGAGTTAATTAGTATCCTGGAGAGAGCACATTAGAGTATCCTGGAGGATCCTGTGGCAATGGCCAAGAGATATAAGGCAAATAAACTGAAAAAAGAAATGAAAAAAATGGGGAAAACCCAAGAAATTGTATCATTAATGTCTATGTTGAAAAGCGATAACAGCCTACTTACAGGAGATATCAAGATTTTTTAGAGATATATTATTTAGGATATGTGGAAGTATTGGAAACATGCTGGCAATATGAAGAGACTTGATTGATTCTTAAAATAATAGTGATTAAAAATGTATAATTCAATATTTTATAGTTTCTTTAATAAAGTCAAAAGTATTTTAAAAAAAATAAAGGACACGTGTATTTACATTTCAGTTCCACTCTGATCGTCCAGGGTAATCTTCCCATCCCAAAAGCCTTAACATAATCCTGGCTGCAAATCCCTCTTGCTTGCTCTAGAAGGTAATATTCACAGGTTTCAGTGATTAAGACCTAGATGTCTTCAGGGACCATTAGTCAGCCCGCCACTGTCTTCAGCTTGGGATAGATTTGCACAATGATTTAGTAGATCTGGGATGTGTCCCATACATTTGTCCTTTTAACAAGTAGGGAAACTGATCAGAAAGTGGTCTCAAACCACATTCATGGGATGCTTTGAAGAGGGATATAATGGGTAGCTAATTGCATAGAGAGCCTTTCATTTTGATGCTCTATCAGGAGAGCACGCCTTGAGAATTGCTTGTTTCCTATGTTCCTGTGTTGTGTACACGTTTATACAGGGTCACTGTATTTACATGATTTCAAAGTTAGATGAGGAAATAAAAATAATTAGGGCGCCTGGGTGGCTCAGTCAGTTAAGCGTCTGCCTTCGGCTCAGGTCATGATCTTGGGATCCTGGGATCTAGCCCTGCATCCTGCTCCTTGCTCAGCAGGGAGTCTGCTTGTCCTTCTCCCTCTGCCCCTCCCCACCCCCACCCTGCTTGTGTTCTTTCTCTCTCTCTCTCTCTCAAATGGATAATAAAAAATAAAATCTTTTTAAAAAAAGAAATAAAAATAATAGTTTATAATTATGTCATATTTTATTTTGTCCAGGACCTTTCCTCTCCAATTATATAAGATTCTTATCACCGCTGTAACAAGTTGCCACAGACTTGACGATTTTAAAACAAAATAAATTTATTATCTTACAGTTCTGAAGGTCTGATGCCCCCAAAAATGAGTTGTAAGAGTCTACAATCAGATGTCAGCAGGCTGTGTTCCTTCTGGAGGCTCCAGAGAAACCCCATCTCCTTGCTCTTCCAGATTCTGGAAGCTGCCTACATTCCTTGGCCCTCAGGCCCTTCCTCCTCCTTCAAAACACATCCTTCTGCTTCTGCTGTCACATCCCCTTTTCTGACTTTGGCCTTCCTGCCTCTTTCTTATGAGGATTTTTGTGATTATATTGAGCCCACCCAGATAATCCAGGATAATCTCTCCATTTTAAGATCCTTAACTTAATCACATCTGTAAAGTCCCTCCACCATGAAGGTAACATAAACAGGTTCAAAGTACAGTTGCTACTGAATGCATATCGCTTCTGCAAAAATCCTAAGACAAACCATTCTAAGTCAGGACCAGTCGGTATACACACCAATATATATCTAGATCTACATCTAGATCCATCTAGAGCTACATCTCTCTCCCTCTCTCTCTCCATCATACATCCTATTGGTTTACTATCAGGTATTAAAACCACGATTTTATAGCTAAGTTTAGAGAGATTTGATAACTTTCCCAAGCACAAAGAAAGCAAAGTAGGAGGTCTAGATATCACACCCAGGTCTGTGTGACCCCTCAGTCCTTGCTCTCCCCACCATTGATTACTGCTGGAAAGATGACAAGAGAAGGGCATGGCACCTTGAAGATCAAATACTGCCCCAGTCACTCTCTCCAGAAGTACTAACTCCAGAAAAAGCTTTCCATGAGGCAAGAGGTTAAATGAAAAGAGTCAAACTGTGACCTTCACCTTCTTTCTTGTACCTTTAGATGCTCAAATCTAGTTTGCCAGAGATTTTACATGAATGCGATGTCACAGGAGAGAGAAATCACCCAGCGCTGCCTGGTCTGCTTGAGGACCTCTCCCTGTAGGGGCTTCTAAAGCCGTACCCAGCTCATGGAAAACCTGCCATTTTGATGGAGCATCTACTATGTGCTAGATGGTGTATCTGCCTTATCTATAATTCCCTCCACGGTCCTGCCAAGGATTACTTCATATTGCAGCTGCCGTAACAGGCAAAACCACGTAATGCCTGATGTGGACGAGGTAGCTCTCTGTTATCTTTTAAACATGCCATGGGCCCCCAAGATTTCCCACTTAATTGCCTCGGGCTGGGAAGTGACATGTCCCTTCCCTTACACTCTACAAATAAGGATTAGGGTCACACAACTATGGGGGGAAAGCCGGGAAATGTAGGGGAGCATGTGGATGTTTGGTGAGCTCTAGCAGAGTCTGACACAGTCACATTTTAAAGATGAGGAACGGTGGATCTCAGAATGCATCATGCTGTCGTCGCACAACTCATAAGTGGTGAAGCCCGGATTCTACTCAGGTCATTAAAACTCCAGTGCCATTTCCCCTCAGTGCTTCCCCAAGTAAAATCTACTGTAGTTACTTCAAAACAACTCAGATGCAAAATGACCTGCCTGTGCCGCAGGGGATGCCAACCACCCCCCCATCCTCCCCAAAAGGAATCCCACTATTGCTCATGCAATACAGCAAAGCAGACACCTGCTAACTTGGCATACTCTGCATCAATGCCACATTTCCCTACCAGGCCTTGATGAAGGCCCGATCATGTATTTTTAAAAAAATCTATCCCGCTGTGATGGATGTATCCCCTCCATCTGTCCCATGCTGGGTGAAATGGGTTACAGCTGCAAGCTACACCTGCCATGGAGCCAGACGGGGTACCTAGGGGGTGGGCAGCAATTTAGCAGGTGGATACTAAAAGCTGGCAACCACTTTGCAAAAATTTTTTTATCCTTCTGTAGCCTTAAAAGAAATAAAAACAAAGAAAATGCAATACAGGAGTGTGGGGCGGGGGGTTGGTACAAAGGCTGGTGCCTCAGGACTTTTATTTTCAATGCAAAATGTCCTTTTTCATTTGCATTGTGGAGAGAGAAGGTGGCCCATCCTCCACCCCAACCCAAATTGAGATGGCACACTTTTGCGTGGGTGAAACTCAAGCTGAGTCTGCAAGGGATCTGCTGTGGGCAAGGGGACAGAGCTGAAGCTCAGTGCTAAAAACTCCAGTGCTTCTTCTCGCCTTTCTCCTTCTCCTTTTTAGTGAAAGGAAAAATCTAGAAGCATATCCTAGAGCCTTCCACCTTCCCATCTTCCTGGTTTCTTTGTCTGCAGAATCACATCCTTTGAACGCTGACTAGCACTAGTACAACATGATATTTGGGCTGGAGGAAGACCAGAGCTGGGGCTGGGCTCTGTTGTGTCACTTTGGACAAGGTATTTCATCTTTCTGAGCCTTAATTTTCCCACCCATAAAATGGGATAAAACTATTACCTAATTATTACCTAA